CAGTGAAGAATACAATGATAACTAACACATTAACACATTTTGTGCCATTACCTTGATTGGTGCTCAAGAGGCAGCAGCGTTTCCCACCACTGTTTTTGCACACCTGTGCAAATGTCAACCTTGTGCAAAAGATAATGTGTTAGTGTTATTGTGAAAATAGATTTGATCCCATGGACCCCTCCATCATCTAAGGTCTGATTACTGAGAGTCACTGTAGTAGAAGAATGTCCTTATTTGTTGGATATATAATTCAAAATATTTAGGGTCAAGGAAACATCTTAACAGCAACTTACTTTCAAAAGGGCCAGGAAAAATAAAGAGTTTTTTTGTACTGTAGTTGCAACATTTCCCTAAGTTATAAATTGTTTTAACATATTTGTTTTATCTCTGCTTTATCTCTATTTTACATTAAAGTTATATTTAAATTCCATTACTCTTTCACCGGAAAATTCTGTATTGAAATTGGAATTTCTGGAAAATAAACTTTGTTAATTCTGTGGCTTTGAGTAATCCTTGGAACACTGCATAAAATCCATTTACTAACTGTGCTTCAAGATAAAGAGTCATATATTATACATATATTTTATATACTATTAACTGGAGCTAGGCTGTTTACATTTGTTATGTCTTATTCACAATAAATTTAGAGACAATATACATCTCCTTTTTACAGAGTGTGAACATGAGCCTTAGCTTTTTTAACTAACTTTCTAAAACTTACAAAAATACGAGAAACTGGCCAGTGATTCCTTTTGGAACAATATTAGAAGCTTACATAGGCAAGATTTAAAAGCTACATATGAAGTTAATACATTTTAACTCCTGAAAATGTTCATAATATTACAAAAATATTTAAAAAAATGAAAGACAAAAATAACATGTAGACTTACCCTTCTCTTTCTCTAATGCTCTTTCCCCACTGGTGGATGTTGACTGGGTTCTCCAGGCTTTCCTGATGCAGAGCACTGTGTGGGTCACAGCTTTGGAGATCTCATTGTCCCCAAGAGAATGTCAGATATAGAAGCCCTTCTTAAACACACAGTGGGGCTCTGTGCATGCAGTAATTTGACAGCAGATTGTAACATTAAAAATATAATTCAGATATGACTAAAAATAATAGGCATTTAATTCAGACTCTGAATTTTATTTACTGTTAGCCTTTGATTTTCAAGTAACCTTAAAACCACACAGTCACATTCAGACTGTGACTAACATTTTTTAAAAATACAGTAGACTGGGTGTAGTGGTTCATGCCTGTGATCTCAGCACTTTGGAAGGCCGAGGAGGGTGGATCACCACAGGTCAGGAGTTCGAGACCAGCCTGACCAATATGGTGAAACCTCATGTCTACTAAAAATACAAGAATTAGCCAGGTGTGGTGATGGGTGGCTGTAATTCCAGCTACCCAGGAGGCTGAGTCAGGAGAATTGCTTGAACCGGGAGGTGGAGGTTGCAGTGAGCTGAGATTGTGCCACTGTACTGCAGCCTGGGTGACAGAGTGTGACTCCGTCTCAAGAAAAAAAATATATACAATAAATTGGCTGGAACTTTTATTCTACTTAAGTATTGAAATGAATTATACATGTAAAGTTATTATACCTATAAAGTTATGTGTGTATATATATATGCATATAAAATATTCTCTTGTCTCATAAGGTTTGAAATATCTAAAGTTATTGAAACATTAGTTTAGAAAGAATCAACACAGATTTGTCAACTTTCCTAACACCAATAGACTTCACTTTCCTTTGGGTGCCTGTCTCCTCCTAGGGATTTATGTTCCTGGTTAAGTCACTTTACCATTTCTGCTTTGCTTCTTCCAGCCAAACCCATAGAGATGAAAAAATAATAGTCTTTTGATTTCAAGTATATGAGATCTAGGCTGTTCTCATATTAGATGGAAACTTACACCTGAATGTTAGCTAGTAAAAAGAGTTTCTTGTAATTTAGTATTTATTGGAAGCATTGTGTGCCATGCCATCCTCCTGATGTTTGTAACAGGCTTGTGTAGACTATTATCAAATAACACTTTTTTCTTGATATGTCTCTTTGAGCTTCGGTGTTTGCATATCAAGAGAGTCTCAGACTTAGGTAGTTGAGACTGTGATAAGTGCATCCTGTGAACTACCCAAATAAGGAGGAAAACAAAGGCAGCTGAGTATGGGATGCCATATAAAAATCACTTAAACCAGTCGTCACTTCTTGTTTCCTAAGTAGTCCTGTGCTGGAGGTCTGCCCAGATGAAGGTCTCCATGGCTTTAGAAGCGTTGATGCTCCTTGCTGTCTTGATTTGGCGTGGTGCTGAGAACTTACATGGTAAATAACCCATTTTAGACAATGTTTCCTTGAAGGAGTTATTCATAATGATCGCTTTCCATGCAAGTGTTCTACTCCCTGCAGAAATCGGATCTTATTCTAACTGGCTAGAAGATGAAATGCTTTCAGACCAAGTAGACTTGTGTCAATATACGAGGATACATTTTCTCTTTCTGCCTAAATGTCCCAGTTCTCACGCTTTTCTTTCTCTCTCTCTCTTTTGGTCTTTTCTCTGTCTCGAGGCTCATTTACAGAGGTTCTTCGGGAATAGTCCTTGGCTCTGTTTCAGTCTAACTTTTCAAACCCACTGCCAATTACTATTGCTTGATTGTATCGTAAGATATTTGGTTTGATCTTAACTGATCCTCTTGCTTCCAGGCTCTTTATGTTTTGCTTGATGATGATATTATTGCTCTTTTGTTCTCTTAAAAAGATTTCTCTGACCTTCACTCATGTTAAACTCATCAACAGTTCTGCAAAGCTAATAGGATAAGGCTAAGTCAGCTTGTTGCTGTCCACAAGTTGATTTCAATGTATCTTTTCTGTTTTGCCTGGAATCTAAATGCTTGCCAGCTCCAAGGCCTGACTAAATGTCATCTACTGTAAAGTAGCATTTCAATATTACTTTTTGTGTTCTTTTTTTTTTTTTTTTTTTTTTTTTTTTTTTTTTTTTTTTTTTTTTTTTTTTTTTTACTTCTTTTTTTTTTTTTTTACTTGAAATGGGGTCTTTCTTTGAAACTGATATGTCAATTTCTTATCCATTTGCCCTGTAATCCCTAGGGGAGCAAAGACCACATATAACGTCTGATATTTTTCCATTTTACCTAAGATGAATCTTAAGAATGTCTAGATCAGTGCAGCTCACCACATAACAGTTAATTATTAAAATGAATAGCACATAGAAAGAGTGACCATGAATTCTGGCTATCTGGGGTGGGTAAGGAGTTCAGGCCCTAACTATCTTCCATGAAGTCTGAGCAACAGGAAGGTTCTGCTGCAGTGAAAGTATCTGTGTGTTCCTCAGGCTTTTCTCAGCTATTTGAGAAAAATGTCAAACCAAAACTTGACTTTCTGGCCGGTATGGTGACTCACACCTGTAATCCCAGCACTTTGGGAAGCTGAGGCGGGTAGATCACCTGAAGTCAGGAGTTCGAGACCAGACTAGCCAACATGGTGAAACCTGTCTCTACTAAAAATACAAAAATTTTCCAGGCATGGTGGCAGGTGCCTGTAATCCTATCTACTCGGGAGGCTCAGGCAGGAGAATTGCTTGAACCTGGGAGGCGGAGGTTACAGTGAGCTGAGATCACGCCACTGCACTCTAGCCTGGGTGAAAGAGCGAAACTATCTCAAAAACAAACAAAACCAAAAAGCCTTGACTTTCTAATGATAGTGTGAAAAAAAATGCAGTGAAATCAGGAGTATGAGTTTCCTGTGTGTCCATGTCCACTTAGCCTTTCCATGCATCTTTAATCTCAGCTGCTGGAATTTATTTTCCTTTCGGAAGGACCTTCCTGATCATCTTTCCTAGGTAACGTGAGTACAGTATTTCAAACACATGGCGAGACGTGATTTAAAGGTTGTGATCACTAAAATAGAACACGTGCCTTCTCTACGCCACCTTTTCTAAAATGTGCATTGTCTTACATTGCTGCTGCTGATTTCTCTCTAATGGTAGGACCTCCAGGCTCCGGGGGTGGTAGAGTCCTCTGTGGCCACTTGCTCATTAATAATATAAATATGCACTTTTTAATGCAGAAAAGACTCAGTTCCTCCAAATGGAATCTATTACAAATAATGATTATTATTGACTTACTGATGATTTAAATATAAAGATGCGTTTTACAACAAAACTTGCATGGAACTAACATCCCAGATAAAGGGTTTTCTCTCTTCAGACTATTTCCTTTTATGACTGAGATTGTTTCTGGTTGTGGCTGCTCTAGACAGGAATTCTGTTCAAGAACCACCCTTTCACCTCTCACTCTCCAAAAAATATACTGGGATGATATCACTCTTATTCTAACACATTGCAATTTACTTCTGTCCCTTATGTTTTGTCCTAAATATGTCAGCCTCCATGGAATATAACTTATTTAGGAGAAAGCAAGGAGCTATATGGTTATGCTTTTTCTCGAGACAGAGTCTCACTCAGTTACCAGGAGCCAGGCTGGAGTGCAGTGGCACGACCTCGGCTCACTGCAACATCCACCTCCCAGGTCCAAGCAATTCTCCTGCCTCAGCCTCCCGAGTAGCTGTGACTACAGGCATGTGCCACCACACCCAGCTAATTTTTTTGTATTTTTAGTAAAGACGGGGTTTCACCATGTTGGCCAGGATGGTCTCGATCTCTTGACTTCGTGATCTGCCCGCCTCAGCCTCCCAAAGTGCTGGGATTACAGGCGTGAGCCACCGCGCCCGGCCAGTTATGCTTTTTCTCATCCTTGCATGTTGATCCTCCTACCTCCCCCAAGAAATTACTGAAATCTAGTTACTTGGGGACATAATTAGTTAGATATTTTGGAAAACAATGTTAATAATGTTTATATGAAAACCTTAAGCCATGGTTACCCTTGCCAGAGAAAAAAAACACCTTTTCTTTATCACAAAGGGCAGAGTTGAATATTCTTTGAACACTTAAGATAGACACACTTCTGATGCTTTTCATATGGTTCTTTCCACAGTGAAAATAAATTGCTCTCTGGACTGGTTGATGGTTTCGGTTGTCCCACTTGAAGAAAGCAGAAATCTGTATATATTTGCAGATGAATTACATCTGGGAATGGGCTGCCCTGCAAATCGGATACATACATATGTATATGAGTTTATATATCTTGTTCATGATTGTGGCATCAGGACAAGGGTGAGGACAGTGATTGTTTGTAAAAATACTAAACGTTTTGTCAGACTTTTATGCCTAGTATTACAATTATCTTTTTTAAAAATAATCTTTATTCCTCGTTATTGTAATTTATGGGTAGAGGACAACAGAATTCCTCATTTATTCCTCACTGAATATTGGGTCATTTTGTGTGCACAGGACCTTAGATCACAGATTTATAGATTGGCTAGGGAACTGATTCTAAGTTGCCTTTAGGCCACTATTATATTTTACTAAATATTAGTAGATGGCTTTAATTTTTATTTAATTCTTCTAATGTGGAAGGTCACCAATCTTGGGAAGCTGTATCATGTTCAATGTTAGGCCATTTGAAATCTATCCATGTTCCATGAGGATTTGTGTCAATATATGGAATGGATTTTCATGGAAATGAAATCTCTTGTTGGTTATTCAGCTAGGCACAAATCCTAAATTGCAATGTTGTATTAGGATATTATTTTCTCATAGATTCCCAAATTTAAATAATTTATATTCATACTATGCAAATATTTTGGACCAGGGACTAATTACTGTAACAATCCTTTTTGAATAAGGTATTGCCTTTGTTCTAGAAATTAGGAATTTGGAGCTTCAGAAGGTGCTTTGCCAATTTTCCCAGGGATACACAGCTTGGTGGTGGTAGTTTAGATGCCAGACCAGATGAACACTCTCCAAAGCATGTAATTTAAACCACCCTGTCATTTGACTTCCAAATCACCTTTCTCAAAAGAACTGTCGGAAACCTTTTCATAAATGAATCATAAAGATGTCTATAAGTGGCAATTTAAATTTGCTGCAATGAATTAAGATTTTTTTTGCCCCCAGGCATTTTAAATTCACTGTGAGGGATAACACTCCTCTTCTTTCCCAGTGAGTTGTCAGATCTTCATTTACACCTAAGAACAACAGTAGCCATTTTTGAGATCGTGAATGTTTTTTCCATCCTATTTAAGTGCGTGTATTTCTCCTCTGTTACTCCAAATATCTTTCACTTAAACTTTGTGCTCTCCCTAGGTAATTTCTGAGGAAACGCTCCTTTTTCAAACGGAGCTGTACTTTATCCCAAGGAATATACATCGTGACCCTGAGGAAATCTCTTTGGAGTGTTCTGCCTCTAGGTAGGTCCAGCAGATCTGATTCCTTTGGAATGTTTTAGCTTTACCTTTGTTTATTAGAAGCTTCTCCAGAAGCATGGATTTTAGAAAACGTAACATGATTCACCTATAATTGTAAACCCCAAATTAGCATTTATATAAATATTTTAATGAATACTTTAAAATGTTTTAATATTTTGAATGCAATGGTTACTTTAGCATAAAAATATGTAGACATATAATGGTCCTAACAGACAATCTAGTATAACTAGGTTATTTTATAATAACTCAACTACAAAGCAGAGTCGTTAAATACTCCGTTACTTTTAGTAAGTGATAAAATTGAGCATTGATATTATCATTCAATGTTTTGTCCTTTATAATATTTTTTTCTGATACATTTTATTGTTCAATTTCATCTTGTAAGAGTAAGTGGCTTAAAATGTAAGAAAATCAATCAGTTCATTTAATACTAATGGCGAATACATGAAGGAAGGGCTTATGAGCCTAATCATTAAATGTACTTTGCTTGTAATTTTGTGGAACTGAGATATTGAATCCCAAGAGCCCCACATGAACTTTGAGACTAGGTGGAAAGGTATCCTGACATACTTTTACCATGCCATTGAAATATTTATGTAAAGTTTTATAAATCTGAGTGGTGAATCTTGGAAACTACCTCAAAACTACAGGAAAAATTTTATCCTTGTTTAATACATGGAAATAGTTGACATCAAAATAAGAGTTTAGAGTTTAGAGCCAATATGCAATGTATTTTAATGAGATTATAGTACTTTTTTTTTTTCAGGGGGAGACAGAATTGTTTTTCCTTAAATTTTGGTAAAATATACATAATATAAAATACCATTTTAAGTGTACAGTTCAGTGACATTAATTCTATTCACACTGTTAATACTTTGAACCTTCCCTTTAACTTATTTCATAAGTCTGATGGGTTTAGTGATATTCTATTTAAACGTTAGATAAAAACTACCCCTTGATTCTCTGTCTTTCTCAGTCTGTCTCTTTCTGTATATCTCTCTCTGTCTCTGTGTGTCTCTCAGTCTGTGTCTCTGTCTCTCTGTCTCTGTCTCTTGGTCTGACTCTGTCTCTCTGTTCTGTCCCTATCTCTGTTCTGTCCCTGTCTCTGTCTGTCCCTGTCTCTGTCTCTCTGTCTCTGCCTCTCTGTCTCTCTGTCTCTGCCTCTCTGTCTGTCTGTCTCTGCCTGTCTCTGCCTCTCTGTGTCTGTCTCTCTCTCTGTCTCTGTCTGTCTCTGTTTTTGTGTATCTCTTTGGCTCTATCTTTCACATACATACATATGTTTTTGATTTTAGAAACTACCCAATACTTGGAGCAACACAGAGTTCTGACCTAATGCCCCAGAACTACTGCCTCTCTGTAGGCTACCAGAGTTACAGTGATAAATAGATATTCCTATTTTGATAGTAACTAGTATGTTGCTTGAAGCCTACTTTCCTTGAAAATATGAAGATTTGACCAACAAAGGTGTCTGTTTAGGTTTTGGGTACACAAATTTTACTGTTGTATTCTCATTTTTATTCTGTCTCTGTCTCTGTCTTTCTCTCTCTCTCTCATATTCACTTACTCACATTGACATGACATATAGAATTTTGCCACCACCACAGTGGGTCAGTTAAGCTTTGGGGGGCTGTTACTTACTGGTCTTAGGATCCATTTGGCTGAGTCTGTTTTGCTGGGCACATTGGTACTCTTCTAATGCAAGCATCACAAATTATCTAAGACCATTAATCTTCCTACTCAGTGTTTCATGCAGAAATCATGGGGAGACTAGCTGTAATTCGTTCTTCTATAAGCCTATCTGCTCAAATCTCATGCCAAGTGTCCACAAGGATCTAGAAGGTCTAGTATGCCAGCTCTACACCATACTCCTGAATGACTGTTCTGAAAATGATCGTGGTATTAAACGGTGGTAAAAATGACTTGATCCCAAGTGTGCCAACACTATCTGCTTTCTGTCTCCCTTTTCTTTAGGAAATCAGTGTGGCTTACACCAGTTTCTACTGAGAATGACCTAAAATTGGATCCTAGTCCTTTTATTGCTGACTTTCAGGCAACACCAGAAGAGTTAGGATTATTATCTTCTACCAAATTGCTCTCAGCTAAAGGAGAAATGGAAACTTGAAGGTGGCATTATGTATTTGGGAGGAAAATAGTTTTGTTTTTTCATAGCAAAAATATACTTGCTATATATCTCTCCTTAAGTCTCTGGTTTCTAAAAACCCTGCTTCAGTAAAGGTCCTGATTAGTTGATTAGTGAATGTGTATTTCTAAATGTTTGTATTCAATAGGGCTATGGCTTATTAATTTAATGTTAACTATTAGATAATTCATATTATACATTTATTTAAGCTCTTTGCTGTTCTGTGTGGAATATTCAACAATACGTCTTCAATGATAATGACTTGATTTAATTGATATAAACCTCCAATAAATATGTTCTAATATTTTTCAGGAAGAATAAATAATAGAGATAGACAGAAAAATGTGCAAGAGGGAAAACTTTGAGCCTAGCGTAAAATTTGACGTATTAACTATCACAAAAGACAAAATCCTTTATGTGCAGATATTTTAATTCATGTAGACTTTCCTATTAATCACTAAAGTTGAATCCTAATCATAACGCAATGTGACAACCTATTTAGATTATTCCAGAAGTAAATTCAATTTATTTTCTAGAGCTCAAGTAACCACCACCTTAGCTGAAATTTGATGTTAGGTTTTCCTTTCTCCTCAGTATGGTCCTTCCACACTCAAAATGATTTGTTGAGTTGGTCAAGCAAAGAGTTATCCTGCCACCTAAGGGAATCCATTAAATAATCATTACCACCTACTTTATACTCTCTTCTTTCCCTTAAACAGGGAGTCTATATATGTAATATATCAAAAAACACTTCTGATTTTCGTAGATTTCTTATATCGAGAGTGAGAATTGAACTGTGCCATTGGCTGTTCAATCGCTTATTGAATCTACGTTTTGATGTCACGTCCTCCTGGAAACAAATTTTGCCAAGATACTCTGTATTATTATTTTTAATTAAAGTGGTACTATTCCATTTCCAATAAAATGCTGCCTATAGCTGTTTACTTGTCAAAGAATTTGACACTGTCATAGTGGGCATCTCTCTTTGGCAGTTAATATGCAGCTAAGAGGTAATACTTCTATGGGACTTCCTAAGTGTCAGAATATGGTACAAGTATATTGCAATAAGTTATTTAACCTTAAAGAGAAAACTGTATCACTATTATCCCAGTTTTGCAGATAAGCAAACAAACGCAGGTTAAATCATTTGCCTGAGTCTGACAACTTGTTGGTTTTTGTTGAAGATTTAAAATCAGGCAGTGTGCCTCTAGGTCTGTCTCTGTGCTTTCTCTTTGTACATTAGCAACTATACCCTACTGCTTGTAATTATCTTAAGTCGCTGAACTTTAGTGCTCTAGAAAACAATTGTTATTCAAGCAGTTACATAATTCTCAATAAAGCAACGTTTAGCAATAGTGTTTCTCTTGAATATGGAAGTAAAATTTTTATTTATTTTTTTTTTTGAGACAGAGTCTCACTCTGTTACCCAGGCTGGAGTGCAGTGGTGCAAACTTGGCTCTCTGCAAACTCTGCCAGGGTTCAAGTGATTCTCTTGCCTCAGCCTCCTGAGTAGCTGGCATTATAGGGACCTGCCACTGCACCTGGATAATTTTTGTAGTTTTTAGTAGAAACAGATACTGGGCAGGTGAATGGTTGCTAAAAACAAAGTAAATTATTGAGTCTGAGACAATACATATGTAAAGATAAAGAGCGATGATGTGGCTGGATTTTAGAAGGGTGGCTCTAAAACCTCTTCTCTTGCTATTTCACTTTTTCCTTTTTTTAAAAAAAAATTATGACTGACACAATTGTATATATCAGCTACAATGTGATGTTTCAATACATGCATAAATCAGGTAATGAGCACTTAGTATACCAACCACCTTAAATATTATTTCCTTTAATAAGAACATTCAAAAACCTCTCTTCTAGCCATTTTGAAATACCCAATACACTATTCTTAACTTTCATCATCCTATTACACAATAAAACACTAGAACTTATTCCTCCTAACTAACTCTAGCTTTGTTGGCCTACAGTCCCAGCTATTTGGGAGGCTGAGGCAGGAGAATGGCTTGAACCCAGGCGGTGGAGATTGCAGTGAGCTGAGATTGCACCACTGCACTCCAGCCTGGATGACACAGAAAGACTCTGTCTCAACAACAACAACAACAGTAAACATAATGGAGAACCTCTCCAGGCTACCCGCGGTGACATACGGTTTTTATCTTGGCGAGATAAGAAGCTGTTGCAGGCACTGTAAAAAGAGATGGATCATTTTCATTACAGAGCCTATATTCCTCTGATGCTTCCAAAATAATCAGAATTTCAAAAGGTTGTATAGTTTTTAATATGGGAAACTATATATTTAAAAGGTTGAATGAAATGGAAGTCTAATTAATGATATTTTAAAGTTATCCCTAAAATTAAGGAGCAATCCTGAGGGCAGGGGGTTCTATATTCCGTGAAAACACCAGAATTCCTTAGCATCTACTCTTCTTCTTTAGAGAAGGTTGAAAAGGCATTTTAAAATTGAAAGCTAGTTTCAGTAAAATGTATGTCATACTGTTCTAATCAAATAAATCTACTGATGGCTTATAGGAAAACAAGCCCAAAAAGCTAATAGAGAAATGAAAACCAGAAAAGAGTCATGATATAATATTTATACCTTGTAGCAGTTAGGGTTCAATCAGGTAAGCAGAACTAGATTGAGTGATATTGATGAGGAATTTATCGTAATTAATTTTGAGAACTGGGAAATAATTCTATGGAAGGCTCTTGCTTTTGCATCTGATGGTGAGCCTGCTGTTGCTATAGGTCAGCAGGGCTGGCAGCCTGGAAAACAGGCTGGACTTGAAAAATGGTTAAGATGGTACATTTTATGTTATGTGTTTTGTACAGTCATTTTTAAAAAGGCACACTTGAAGCATGGAAGCATAAGAACACATTGGAACCACATCTTCCTCTCACTTCCAACCTCAACCACAGGATGACCTGGCATCCATTGCTATGGAGTTGTGCAAGTGCCTGGTCCAAGACTCAGAGGTGCTAAAGGAGATTTGGTGAGAGCAGGAGAAATCGCAGGTCCAGCTATGGTCCAGTGCTAGGGAGGTGAGCCAGAGGATCAGAGACAGAGTGTGCAACCTGCACCCTAAACCCACTTTGGAGCACCATGGCTACTGTCTTACTTTCTGCCTTCCAAATCTCTTATATGACAAATTTCTTATATGACCAACCCAAGGACTGTTCAGGAAAAGTAATTCTAGTAAATGTAGTTACAGCTTAGCTGAATTGGCCCAGAAAAACTCTAAGGCTGATAAAAAATGGAGTTGAATAGTCCCATGGGTGGCAGTAAGTGGGAATATTGAATGCCACATGCACTATATATGTGCTCATAGAGGTGGAGGCATTCTGGAGTATTCTACCCAGCAGTCCTCAGTCAAGTTGATTATGTGCACATCCTATGGCCCAGTAATTGGGATTTTGATTATATATTGCAAAGAAATTCTCATACAGAATTAAGGCACATGGATGTGAGAAGATTCCTGATATCAAGCTACAATCCCTGTGTGTTCATTTATGGGTGGGTGGTTAGGTAAAACATGGTGGATGTAGGTGCAGCATTTGGATACAGCAGACTGCACACTCACGGTGGCTCACGCCTATGATCCCAGCACTTTGGGAGGCTGAGGCCGGTGGATCACTTGAGGTCAGGAGTTTGAGACCAGCTTGGCTGACATGGTGAAACCATCTTCACTGAAAATACTAAAATTAGTGGGGCGTGGTGGTGCATGCCTCGAATCCCAGCTACTGAGAGGCTGAGGCAGGAGAATCACTTGAACCTGGGAGGCGGAGGAGGTTGCAGTGAGCCGAGATCATGCCACTGCACTCCAGCCTGGCTGACAGAGTAAGACTTTGTCACAAACAAACAAACAGACTTGGGTATCACTAACAGAGCTGAGTGAAAAAGAGGACCATGACATATATAATACAATGGCATTTATGTATATTAAGAATGTTTGCATGTAGAACTCAATGGTTACCTTTGGTGAGAAGAATCCAAATCAAGGCACAAGAAGATGGAAGAGCTGTAATATTTCATGTGAAGCCCATCTTGCGCTACAGAAAATGTACGTATCAGGATGAAATCCTATTAAAATGGCCAATGAATGAAATCTGCTTAATTCCAAACTAAGATACAATTTTACCTGCTAAAATAAAGTATATAGGCCACCCCAGGAGAAGAGGTGGTCTTTCTTAGAGAAATGCATTTGTTCTTTTCTAACTCATTTCCAACTATCTCATTATAAAGTCCTTTTAGACATACCCGGTAGTTCCCCAATCTGGCTTCACGTTAGAGTTACCTTGGGACCTTTAAAAAATATTCCTGTTGGGCTGGGTGCAGAGGCTCATGCTTGTAATCCTAGTACTTTGGGAGGCTGAGGCAGGTGGATCACTTGAGGCTAGGAGTGGGAGACCAGCCTGGTCAACATGGTGAAACCCTGTTTCTACTTCAAAACAAAACAAAACAAAACAAAAATAAGCCGGGCATGATGGTGTGTGCTTGTAATCCCAGCTACTCAGGAGGCTGAGGCAGAAGAATTACTTGAACCTGGAGGCAGATGCTGCAGTGAGCCGAGATTGCACACCAGCCTGGGCAACAGAGCAAGATTCTGTCTAAAAAAAAAAAAAACAAGTTCACATTCATGTTGAGTTTATGACAAATATCCTGATTTAATGTTTTATAAACTCCCCAGAAGATTCCACTAGGTAGCTGAAAGTAGAAGCATTATATTAGCATTTTCTACCTAGGCTATTTCCATGTTTACCAATAAGTGTCATCATAAATTTTTCTTAGGAACTCTAAAAAAGAATCCCTTTATTCAAATGCTAAGATTGAATCTCTACTCTATTTTCCTCATTTATTTGAAAACACAGCATGAGGTCAAAACAAAGAATCAAGGCTAGTTTCTGATTGATGATTTTATTTTATCTGATGGCTTATTATTTCAAGACCTCTTGGAACAACAATCCTTGTCCGTCTTAACCTTTTATTAATCTTACAATTATAGTAACTAATGCCATTTCAACGTGATTTCAAAGTTGTGACTTTTGCAACATTATGAACTAGTAATTTACAAATTAAACACATTTAATGCATCCCAAAGCCAAAAACCTTAGGTGGTTAACTGTTTTAAGAGCTTATACATGTGTTACGATATATAAAGGTACTGCTTCATTAAGGGTGTGATTTTAATATGTACACACATGGGCATGAGCGTGTGTATGGGGGTAAAACAGACGGCAAGCAATAATATTTAGTAAGTAGATAAAAACAGCAGTCTTGAGAAATATATCACTTTTTAAATAGTCAAATGTGGCACTTGTAAATGAACAACTAGACTATTGATGAATTCACGGATTTCCGCTTCGTTTTGGAAATTTGCAACTTGAATTTTGAACTCAATTATTCTTTAAGGTACTTCAGCACGGGAAGCTACTCAGTCTCTCCTTGATAATTTTCCCTGCCATTAGGAGATATTACATGCAAGTGAAAGAAAGGTCTATGAATATTCCTTTTTCTCTTTTTAATTTGTTTTTTAAAATGTGTTTTATTTTCATTTATCAGCCATAAAAAAAGAATAGCATCCAGTCATTTGCAACAACATGAATGGAACTGGAGATCATTAAGTCCAGGCACAGAAAGGCAAATATCACATATTCTCACTTACTTGTGGGACCTAAAAATCAAAACATTTGAACTCATGAAGACGGAGAGTAGAAGGGTGGTTACCAGAGGCTGGGAAGGGTAGTGGGGAGCTGTGAGGGGAGGTGGGGTTGGTTAATGGGTACAAGAAATGGAAAGCATGAATAAGACTCGCTATTTGAGAGCAAGCAGGGTGACTATAGTCAATAATAACTGTACATTTTTAAAGTAACTTAAAGAGTGTAATTGGATTGTTTGCAATTCAATGGATAAGTGCTTAAGAGGATGGATACCCCATTCTTCATGATGTGAGTATTGTGCATTGCATGGCTGTATCAAAACAGCTCATGTACCTCATAAGTATATACACTTACTATGTACCTACAAAAATAGGAAAAAAATAATTTTTATGTATTTATTTTACTTTTTTCCCTCTCAGTTTTAATGAGGTGCAATTAGATAAATATGTTCTGGGGATCTAATTTGTTAAGATCTCTCAACAAATTTTAAGTATACAATGCAGTGTCGTTAACTCCAGTTGTCCATGTTAACTGGAGTTAACAATACTGTATTGTATAATTAAAATTTGTTAAGAGAGATCTTAAATGTTCTCACCACCACCAAAAAAAAAAAAAAGATGATTATATGATGTGATGGATAGATTAATTATCTGCTTTGTGGTAATGATGTCACAAGGCATACATGT